CTGCTGGGCTCCAGCGATCCTTCCCCCTCAGCCTTCCAAGTAACTGGAACTACAGGTGCATGCCACCATGCCCGGCTAGTTTTTGTGATTTATTGTAGAGACAAGGTCTCGCCAAGTTGTCCAGGCTGGTCTCCAACCCCTGGGGTCCGGCAATCCTCTCGCCTCAGCCTCCCAAAGTGCTGGGATGACAGGTGCGAGCCACCGCGCCCGGCCCATTTCACTTCAAATAGTAATCCTTCTGGGCACGTTTCCCACGGGACTCTTCCATGCGGCTTATTTTGTCAATTGTCATTTCCTCTAAGTCTTCACGTGACCCTCCTAGCCTCTTGCTGCCAGTGACTGTCGATGTCCTTTGCAGACCACCTCTCGAGAGGACCTTCTGCGGCGCCTGCTGGAGTGTGACGTCATCGTCTACAACATCACTGAGAGCGCCCAGCAAGCAGAGGAAGCCATCTGGGCCGTTTCTGGTCAGTGAGGGGCTCCCCACCTCCAGGAATGCTCTCCTCGTGCAGCTAACCTTGCCTGGTAGTCATCGAAGAAACACGCACATTAGAGCCATGGAAAAGCTGGTCTGAGACTCCCCCAGAGAGCAAAGTCTATGCTAGTGAATATGTCTGTGGATAGGTACTTCTGAAGAATAGAACTTTTAAAAATGTATTTATTTGTTTTGAGTCAGGGTCTCACTCTGTCGCCCAGGCTGGAGTGCTGTGCCACAATCACAGCTCACTGCAGCCTCGACTTCCTGGACTCAGGAGATCCTTCTGCCTCAGCCTCCCAAGTAGCTGGGACCGCAGGCATGCACCACCATGCCCAGCTGATGTGTGATTTATTGTAGAGATGAGGTCTCGCCAGGTTGCTCAGGCGGGTCTCGAACCTCTGGGCTCAGGCAATCCTCTCGCCTCCACCTCCCAAAGTGCCGGGATGACAGGTGCGAGATCCTCCTGCTTCAGCCTTCCAAGTAGTTGGAACCACAGGCGAGAGTCACCATGCCCGGCTGATTTTTGTGATCTATTGTAGTGACGAGGTCTGGCCAAGTTGCCCAGGCTGCTCTGGAACACCTGGACTCGCAATCCTGTCACCTTTGCCTCCCAAAGTGCTGGGATTACAGGTGTGAGCCACCACACTCCGCTTCATCTCCCCATTAAGTCCAGAGCAGAGAGGAAAGCAAATCAGCTTGCTGGAATAATTATTTTAGGCTAGGCCAGCCGAAAAGACACAGCAAGGCTCATTTCAATGCCTCGAATTTTTTGTTTTAGGCAGATTGGATTAGGATTCAGTAAACCTTTTCTGTAAAGGACTAGATAATAAGTATTTTTGTCTTTATAAGAAAAAAAAAACAGCCACAGACAGTATATAAAGGAGTAGGTTGGATTCCAATAAAACTTTATTGACAAAAACAGGCGGTGCTTTGCCGGCCCTTGAATTAGATTAACATTTTGTCCTAAATTCAAAAAAATGGGACAGCTCAGGAGAGACTGCCATGCCAGGGAAATGACGGTGGAAAGGCATGTGTGTGTTCATGGGTGCGATTCCTCGCGAGCTTGGAATGTTTGATTTGTTCATTGACAACGCTGTACGTGAATTTCCCTAAGAAACAAAGTTTATAAAGTATGAGCATTGCATCATCTTTGGGACCCGAGCTTGTTTAAAGCCGGCTTTCTGCATTTTGTCCCTTGCAAATATCTACAGATAATGTATGATTGCACCAACTAAACTAATTATCAGCACTAATACTAATTAAGCACTTATTCTGTGCCTGACTTTGAAAACTGGCTTTTTCTTTTAATGTATACTTGCCATTTTCTTTAATTTTTTTTTTAAGTCAGAAGCTCACTCTGTCACTCAGACTGGAGTGCAGTGGCACGCTGCTCATGGCCACCCCAGCCTCAATTTGCTGGGCTGCGGTTATCCTTCCACCTCGGTCTTCCAAATAGCTGGAACCACAAGCTCGCACCTCCACACCTGGCTATTTTTTAAAAATTTATTGCATAGATGAAGCCTCACTAAGTTGGTCAGGCTGGTCTTGAACCCCTGGGCTCAACCACATCTGGTTATTTTCTTTAAATTGTTAATATTTGTTCCTGAAATAAAACTTGGACATGTTTTGAAAATTAAAAGGCACAGTAGGGCTTAGAATAAAGAGCGACAATTCGCTGAATTTTCTTTCTACCCCATCCCTACTTCCCAAAGCAAACTCATTTCATACATAAAATGTCTCATGGATGCCCCTCGACTGTGAATTTCAGACACCAACCACTGACTTCAAGCCAATGGGCCTTGGCTTTTCTTTTTTCTGTTTTTTTGAGTCAGAGTCTCACTCTGTCGCCCAGGCTGGAGTGCAGTGGCACGCTCACGGCCACCACAGCCTCGACCTGCTGGACTCAGGCGATCCTTCCACCTCAGCCTTCCGAGGAGCTGGAACTATAGGCATGCGCCACCACGCTCAGCTAATTTTTGGATTTATTGTAGAGATGAGGTCTCACCAAGTGCCCAGGCTGGTCTCGAACCCCTGAGCTCAGACAATCCTCTTGTCTTGGTCTCCCAAAGTGCTGGGATTACAGGATTGAGCCACCGCGCCCAGCATTTTTTCTTACAATGGATACGAATGACTTTGTAATAATGTTTTGTTAAATCATTTCAAAATGTAGAGTTCCTCTGTCTTGCCTTTCACAGACACTGTGGAAGGAAGGCAGGTGACATGGGGGAAAGGAATGCGTAATTAGAAACGAGAGAAAAAGTTTGCATATATACAGGGTGTGTTTAAAGGGGAACATGCAGATTGTCTTAGACCCATAATAAATTTCATAAATAAAAAAGGATAACCCAGTTAGAGGGCCTCAAAGTGTGCCAGGTATTCACAAAATAGGCCAGACCGAAGCTCAGCAGAGCAGAAAGGTTAAAAGAGCAAAATTAAACTGAAGAGACAATTTTGTCATTAGCATAAAAATAGAAACTAAAGTTCACATTGGAAGTTGGGATTAATCTGTGAACATGGTGTTCTCAGACTCGATTCAGTGACTCTGTCCCCTCTGAAGGGAGAAATCCACGCAAGCGTTCGATACAGGACGTTGGCATTTCATGTTTTTGCTTCTTGAGGGAATCACTTCATGGGACTGAAAGCGTACCGTGCTGCTGTGTCATTTAGACTCTGACGATTTAAGCAGATGTCACCTTCCAGCTTAGAGTTTTTTCTGGAAAGTCAGACATCACGGAGAAGATTTTGGTGGGATCCTTTGCCACGTGCGTTCAGGAGACTCAGAGATGAGCTGTGTAGTGGACCCCACTGCAAAGCAAGCAGCCCTTTGTAAGTCAAGGGCTCACCTCTCTGTCCACCTCCATCCTGATGCTGGTCCCTACGTGGTGCTCATATCCCAGCATCCCACACAGCCCCCATGCCCCCCAAATGACAAGGGCTTTGCTGAACAGGCCTGCCTCGTGTGAGATCCCAAGGGGCCCTCGCTTCGGACCTGGGGCCTCTGCCGCCCGGTCCCCAGCAGCCGGACAGCGTGGTAGGCGGGGTAACACAGGCCTGATGCCTGGGATGGACTTTCTGCACCATCATTCTCTCCCATGCCTCAGTTTCCCCCCTCTGGGAAACAGAGCACCCGTCTCACGTGGGTGAGAATCCAGCAGAGCCCAGGAATAGTTCTAACTCATGTCAGCCATGACGATGACTGTCACCTGCCCTCCAAAAAAGGTGATGGCTCCTATCTGCAGGAAACAGGAAGGGGCCGAACTTCTGAACCAGCTTAGAAGGGACCAGGCGACTGGCGGGCTGGAAGAGTAGAAACAGGGGCAGGAGAGAACGAGAAAGCAGCCACGCCGGTGTCCAGTCGTCCCGGCTGGTAACTGACAGTGCCTGTGATTTCTTTTTTGTTTGTTTTCTGAGTTGGAGTCCCACTCTGTCACCCAGGCTGGAGGGCAGTGGCCCGCTCCCGGCCTCCGCAGCCTCCACCTGCCGGGCTCCGGCGATCCTTCCGCCTCAGCCTTCCAAGCAGCTGGAACTACAGGCGCGCGCCACCACGCCCGGCTAATTTTTTAAAAATGCATCGTAGAGATGAGGTCTCGCCAAGTTGCCCAGGCTGGCACTTGTGATTTCAAAAACAAATCACCGCTCTGCTTGTTGGCCCTGCAGCCCTGAATGAAGAAGTCAGCCACTTTGAAAAGCGAAAAGTGTTTATTCTACTGTCCACGGTGATGACATGGGCGCGATCCAAACCCCTGGACCCCGTAAGTAGGCCGCTGTCCTTTACGTAACGTTTTACCCTTGACACCTCATCACTGGTGAGTGGAGGGGACTTTCTGCACCACGTTGTGTATTCTTGCCTCTCTTCCCAAATAAGCACTCAACAGAGCTCATGGACCGCAACCACGTTCAAGTCTGGAGAATTCCATCATTTTTTTTTTTTTTGAGTCTCACTCTGTTGCCCAGGCTGGAGCGCGGTGGCACGCTCTCAGCCACCGCAGCCTCGACCTGCCGGGCTCCGACGATCCTTCCGCCTCAGCCTTCCAAGTAGCTGGAACTGCAGGCATGTGCCTCCAAGGCCAGTTAGTTTTTTGATTTATTGTAGAGACGAGGTCTCCCCAAGTTGCCCAGGCTGGTCCCAAACCCCTGGTCTCAGGCACTCATCTTGCCTCCACCTCTCAAAGTGCTGGGATTACAGGCATGAGCCACTGTGTCTGGCTCACAGGATACTCCTTTTTTTTTTTTGAGTCAGTGTCTTACTCTGTTGCCCAAGCTGGAGTGCAGTGGCACGCTCACGGCCACCGCAGCCTCGACCTGCTGGACTCAGGCGATTCTTTCTCCTCAACCTTCCAAGTAGCTGGAACCACAGGCATATGCCACCACGCCCGGCTATTTATTTATTTGTTGTAGAGACGAGGTCTTGCCACGTTGCCCGGGCTGGTTTCGAACCCCTGAGCTCAGGCTATCCTCTTGCCTCCGCCTCCCAAAGTGCTGAGATGACAGACTTGAGCTACCATGTCCGGCGAGGATACTCTCTCAAAAGACGTTCTGAAAGCAATTAAACCAACATGAGTACATACCCAACTCAATTTGAAGTGATGACACTAAGAACCGTGTGTTTAAGGTCACCAAGGCACTAGCAATGACATTGCCTGTGCTTCCTGGCTGACCATCATACTCCTAAGCTGTTGATTACAAGACGGGGTCTAGTTTCAGAAATACCAAATGTGAAAATAAAGTGCATGTTAGGATCAATGAAACGTATTATTTATAACAAGGAAGTATTTAGGAATGTTCGCACTTATTGTATCAAATGCCACTGATTTGTTTCATTGTTTGTCTTGCTGGGCTGAGAAGATCCTTGAAGCGAGGGATGTCCTTTCCTTGTAAAGTTCACTCACCGGCTGCATTTGGCTGCCATCACCTCAAGGAGCAGGCCAGGTCTTTTTATTTCTGTTAGAGTTCCTTCCCTCAGCGTGGCGAGTGAAGTGTCTGCTGCAGAACAATTAGCAGTCAACTGACTGGCTGGCCCGTGTTCTACCTTCCCAACGGATTGTCCCCACTGACTAAAGCAAAATGGGGAATTGACTGACTCACATCATTGGTTGCTCCAGTAGTGGGCTTCAGGCACAGCTGGATCAAGAGGCTTAAATATGTTCTCAGCCAGGTGCAGTGGCTCATGCCTGTCATCCCAGGACTTTGGGAGGTGGAGGCGAGGGGATTGCCTGAGCCCAGGGGTTTGAGACCAGCCTGGGCAGCATGGTGAGACCTCATCTATAAATAAAATAAAAAATGAGCCAGGTGTGGTGGTGCGTGCCTGTGGTTCCAACTCCTTGGAAGGCTGAGGCAGAAGGATCGCCTGAGCCCAGCAGGTTGAGGCTGTGGTAGCCGTGAGTGTGCCACTGCACTCCAGCCTGGGCAACAGAGTGAGACTCCAACTCAAAAGAAAAGCCAAAAAACTAACTTGGTCAGGCACGGTGACTCATGCCTGCGATCCCAAAGCTTTGGGAGGCCCAGGTGGGGATATCATTTGAGGCCAGGAGTTCAGGACCACTCTGGGCAATACAGTGAGACTCTGTCTCTACAAAAATTTTAAAAAATTAGTCAGACATGTTGGCACACACCCGTCATCCCAGCTGCTCGGAAGGCTGAGTCAGGAGGATCACTTGAGCCTGGAGTTCAATGCTGCAGTGAGCTATGACAGCATCACTGGATTCCAACCTGGGCAAGAGAGCAAGAGTCTGTCTCAAAAAAAGGGGGGGAGGAGGGGGAAGCCGCAAAACTAATCTATAGAATTTATAGGGAAGAATTTCCTTGGGGGCGGGGCTCTGGCAATTCCCTCACCTCCACCTCCCAAAGTGCTGGGATGACAGGCGTGAGCCATGCCCAGCTGAGACCCCATCTAAGAAAAAAAGACTGAGAGAGAGAGACTTGAGGAGACACAGTCTTTCTCCCTCGGGGACGTTGTCATGTCTGGATGTGTCTTGCTACCAGCCTTAAGAGAAAGGCCGCACACGGGAGAGGCAGCGTGAGCCATTGAACGCGGGGCCAGAGGCCAGCCTGGACACACCCAGCCCACTCGGGAACTTTGCTTATGGGAGATGCTGTCCGTCCCCAGTGCTTAGACTTGCTAAGTCTGATCGGTTGTTGTTTGTAGCCAGAAGCATCCAAACGGATTCAAACCCGCATGGAATCCGTTTTTGACACAAAGGAGGGATACATGTGACAGAGTGTTTTCTCATCTGTATTGGTTTTCCAACACGCGAGAAGCTTCATGCTTTTGCAGTCCAGCTACGCGCTTCTTTATGGGTGAGCAAAGTGAGGTCGCCAGAGGTGACCCTGACTCAACCGAACGGCCCAGAACCAGCAGGACAGATGGCTCTGGTTGTCACGCGGAATGACCAGGTGGGAAACAAATCCGGCGTGACCCAGGCAGGCGGTCAGACATGCTGACCGGAGAGAGAGATGGTCCAGCCAGATGACAGATTTTTCTGCTGCCCTAAAAAGCGGGGGGACATTTCCCGGTAAGAGTCAGTGATTCACCTCCTGGAAAGGCAAGCTCATGGCCACCGAAGCCTTGACCTGCTGGCATCAGCCACCATGCCCGGCTAATTTTTCTTGGTTTATTGTAGACGCAAGTTCTCGCCAGGTTGCCCAGGCAGGTCTCGAACCCCTAGGCTCAGGCAATCCTCTCGCCTCAGCCTCTCAAAGTGCTGGGATGACAGGCATGAACCCCCGTGGCCTGGCAACAAATGAATTTTTTTTTGGAGTCTTGCTATGTTGCCCAGGCTGGACTCAAACTCCTAGGCTCAAGGGATCCTCCCACCACGGGGACTACAGGTGCGAGCCACCACGCCCAGTTAAAATGTAGGGACGGAAGGAAGCACAGCCCCACCGCTGGGAGCAAAGGTTCACAAAGCACACACAGGTCTCTGTCCCACCAGGATTCAGGGGGTGACAATTCACAGCCACAGTCCCGGGAGGTTCTGGTTTATGGGCTACAGTGCATACGGCCTCTCTGAGTCCCAGTCCCAAGATGTCAGGGAAGAGACTGGCTGGCCATCGGAGCTCGTGGCCAGGTGCGGCACATCCCAGAAGGGGGTGTTGGCAGCCTTGGGAAGCAGGAGGTTGGTCAGGCCAGCCACCACATGTGCTCGCCGGGGTTGGGGACACAAGGACTTGACTGGTCCCGGAGGCAAAGCTGCTCACACTGTTTCCAGACTCACGTGAAAACACAGGCACCCAGCTACGCTGGCGTTTCAGATACACAGCAAATTTTTTTTTTTTTGAGTTGGAGTCTCACTCTGTCGCCCAGGCCGGAGGACAGTGGCCGCTCCCGGCCACCACAGCCTCGACCTGCTGGGCTCCGGCGATCCTTCCACCTCAGCCTCCCAAGGAGCTGGAACTACAGGCACGCGCTACCACGCCCGGCTAATTTTTGATTTATTGTAGAGATGAGGCCTCACCAAGTTGCCCAGGCGGGTCTCGAACCCGGGGACTCAGGCAATCCACTCGCACTTGGCCTCCCAGAGTGCTGGGATGACAGGCTGAGCCACCGAGCCCGGCCAACAGCAAATACTTTTTTAGCATAAGTACTAGGGGGACACCACCCCAAAATAACAGAATTATCTTTTTGGAGGGCGGGTCCTTGGTAGTCCACTCGGAATTTGTTCCTTCAGATCAAACGGGCAACCAAAGTTTTTGTCTGGAAGTTCTGAGAAGGCTGCATCATGATTTGCAGAAGAAACATCCCGAGATGTGCAAACCTGAGACTGGTTCTTTCACCATGACGACACGCCTGTCCACACCACCCTGGGCGTTCAGCGGTTTCTGACCCCAAATGGCAAAAACCCATGCCTCCCTCTCCCTGTTCACCTGATCTCGCTCCAAGGAACTTTTTTTTGTTTCCCCCATGAAAAAAGTCCTCAAAGGGAAACATTTCGTCCATGTGGAAGAGGTGAATCAAAAACCAGCAGAAGCAATAAAAGGCATCAAAATGGACGAGCTCAAAAACTGTTCTGAGCAGTGGAAAAAGCATCTCGATGGGTGTATTGCGTCAAACGGAGAGAACTTTGAAGGTGACTGAGTTTTGTTTGTTTGTTTGTTTGTTTTTTGAGTTGGAGTCTCACTCTGTCACCCAGACTGGAGGGCAGTGGCCGCTCCCGGCCACCGCAGCCTCGACCTGCTGGGCTCCAGGGATCCTTCCACTCAGCCTTCCAAGTAGCTGGAACTACAGGCGCGCGTTACCATGCCCGGCTCATTTTTTGATTTGTTGTAGAGATGAGGTCTCATCAGTTGCCCAGGCTGGTCTTGAACCCGTGGGCTCAGGCAATCCTCTCACCTCCGCCTCCCAAAGTGCTGGGATGACAGGCGTGAGCCACTGCACTCAGCTCCAAGGGTGATATTTCAATAAAAAAGACTCATATCAAAGTATCACAGGTACCTCCTCAACTCTATACCACGATGATATATCAATAAAAATACACGTATCATCATATTAAAACCTAATTTAGATCGCATGCGGCCCTGTTTCAGCTTGAAGCCTCTTGTGGCCTCCGCCTCTCTTGGGGTCCGTCTAGACGTGTCCACATGGCCTGCCAGTCCTGAGAATCTGCTACTGCTCGCCACGTCTCCTGCCAACGCCCACCCTGGCCTCGGTCATTCAGGGTTTTCGTCCCATTTCTCAGACATGCTGGCAACCAACTGTGCTCCATCCACCTCCAGGCCCTCATCCTGTGTTTCTTCTGCCTCTTTGGTTTATTCCTTATAAGATCTGGGCTCAAATCTTTGGACTGGTTATTTAACTGAGACCAATGCGCTGTGATGGCAAGGTTCCACAGGGAACACTGTCAAACCCGGCTCCGACAAGGACCTCCACGTGAGGATGGATTTGCGGGGAAACACGGGAGCATGGCTCTCCGCTTCTCCTTTGATTCGAGCAAGTTTTAATTTCGTTGTTTTACCTGCAGCCCTCTCTGGGACTGCATGGGAATGGAAGTTGTGTGGACAGTAAATGAGGTGCAGGCCAGGCGCGGCTCATGCCTGTTATCCCAACACTTTGGGAGGCCGAGGCGAGAGGACTGCCTGAGCCCAGGGGTTCGAGACCAGCCTAGGCAACATGGCAGGACCTCGGCTCTACAATAAATCCAAAACTTAGCCAGGCATGGTGGCGCACACCTGTGATTCCAGCTACTTGGAAGACTGAGGCGGAAGGATGGCCTGAGCCCCCAGCAGGTCAAGACTGCGGTGCCCATGAATGTGCCACTGTACTCCAGCCTGGGCAACAGAGTGACATGCTTGACTCAAAAAAAAAAAAAAAAACCCCAAAGAGTCATTAAGACCAGGCATGGTGGCTCACACCTGTATTCCCAGCACTCTGGGAAGCAGAAGCGAGAGGATTACCTGAGCCCAGAGGTTCGAGACCAGCCTGGGCCACATGGCGAGCCCTCATCTCTACCATAAATCAAAAAATTAGCCGGGTGTAGTGGCAAACACCTGTAGTCCCAGTTACTTGCAAGGCTGAGGCGGAAGGATTATCTGAGCCCATCAGGTCGAGGCCGCGGTGGGCGTGAGCCTGTCACTGTACTCCAGCCTGTGCGACAGAGTGAGACTCCGACTCCAAATAAATAAATAAATGTGAGGTGCAGCTCGGTGAACACTCGAGAGATGTTTTTCATACCTGCTCCCCAGGATAACCTGATATTTCTTCTTGGATGAAACCAGTTTTAAAAGCCTGAGACAGCCACTTGAACAAAAAGTGTTCTTCACATGCGATTGGCCAGGCCTGGCAGCTCATGCCTGTAATCCCAGCAATTTCAGAGGCCGAGGAAAGAGAATCATTTGAGCCCAGGAGTTTGAGACCAGCTTGGGGAACACAGCCAGATTTCATCTCTATAAATAAAATTTAAAAAAATATATTAACCCCCTGAAAAAATCAAACAAAATGTGATTTACTGGGGGAAGGGCCGGTATGGAAAAGAGAAAAAAAAACACAATTTGAATTTAAAAAATGAAACTGCATACATTCCAAGAACCAGTAAGGAATAGTTTATTGGGCCGGGCGCAGTGGCTCAAGCCTGTAATCCCAGCACTTTGGGGGGCTGAGGTGGGAGGATTGCCTGAGCCCAGGGGTTCAAGACCAGCCCGGGCAATTTGGCAGGCCCTTGTCTCTACAATACATTAAAAAAAAATTTAGCCAGGTGTGGTGGCTCACGCCTGTAGTTCCAGCTCCTTAGAGGCTGAGGTGGAAGGGTCACCTGAGCCCAGCAGGTCGAGGCTGCAGTGGCCATGAACATGAGACTGCACTCTAGCCTGGGCAACAGAACGAGACTCCAACTCAAAAAAAAAAAAAGTTATTTAATACCTTTCTGGAATCTCAGTGACAACCTGCCACCATCACTACAAAACAAAATAAGAAATTTAAATGTTTAATTGTGAAGCTGAGTGCGGTGCCTCACACCTGTCATCCCAGCACTTTGAGAGGCAGAGGGAGAGGACTGCCTGAGCCCAGGGGTTCGAGACCAGGTGGGCAACTTGGTGAGACCTCGTCAAAAACAAAAAAAAGTTCATCGTGTTTACAGTAAGTTTAAGTTATAAAACTCGGCTAGCTAAAAGCATTTTAGTTATTTATTTATTTGAATTGGAGTCTCACTCTGTCACCCAGGCTGGAGTGCAGTGGCACGCTCACGGCCACTACAGCCTCGACCTGCTGGGCTCAGGCGATCCTTCCGCCTCAGCCTCCCGTGTAGTTGGAACCACAGGCACGCACCACCACGCCCAGCTAATTTTTTGATTGATTGTAGAGACGAGGTCTTGCCAAGTGGCCCAGGATGGTCTCGAACCCGTGGGCTCAGGCAATCCTCTCGCCTCGGCCTCCCAAAGTGCTGGGATGACAGGCGTGAGCCACCGTGCCCGGCCAAAAGCATTTTAAATAAAACTACCTCGCTATGAAAACAAGTAGTAGTGTGACGCTAGGCTCCCAAAGTCCTTGGGCCTCGCAGTTTTGCATCGCTCTAATGCCCCCAGCGGCTTTCTTCTCTTCCAGGAGGACTCTGAGGTCCCATTTACGGAGGAGGATTATCGAAGGAGAAGGCCTCACCCAAATTTTCTGGACCACATCAATGCCGAAAAACTGGTTCTCAAATTTGGAAAAAATGTGAGTCTGGAGTCGTGGGACATTCCTGCCCTCTCGGTCCTTCAAGCATCTCTTGGTTTGGTTTCCTGTTGTTCACACAGGCTGGTCTCTGAGCTTTAGGCTCATTCGGGACGGGCTGGCCTTGGGGGGAAGCCCTGGCGGTGTCCATCTGGGCTCCAGCCTCGCCCGCAAAGGGGTCCTTGGGTTTGAAGACGCTCTTGGCCCAGAAGAGGCAAATAACTGGGAGCTGGGTGGGGAGGGGGAGAACCACACTCCCCTGTCCTCAGACTCTGTCTCCCTTGTTTCTTAAAACGCCTTTGAAAAGTGCCTGCTAGCCAGGCATAGTGGCGCACGCCTGTCATCCCAGCACTTTGGGAGGTGGAGGCGAGAGGATGGCCTGAGTCTGGGGGTTCGAGACCAGACTGGGAAACATGGCGAGACCTGGTCTCTACAATAAATCAAACCATCAGCCGGGCGTGGTGGCACACACCTGTGGTTCCAGCTACTTGGAAGGCTGAGGTGGAAGGATCAACTGAGCCAGCAGGTCAAGGCTGTGGTGGCCGGGAGCGTGCCACTCCACTCTAGCCTGAGTGGCAGCTTCGACTCAAAAAAAAAAAAAAGGATGTGTTACCTCATCCTACAAATAAGGAAATAAAGGCTCCCAGAGGTTGAGTTGCCCAAGGGCGCATGGGTAGGGGTTCCAGGTCACCTAGGAGCTCTTCCCAGCCTCTTCTGATCCAGCAAGTTCACGGTCCCCATGGCAGTGCCGAGGGTGCCCAGGACAGGAGTTGAGTCACGGAGCTGTAATTCGGATGGAGCCATCGCCCCCAAAGCCCGTGGGGTTTGTTTTGCATATTTTTCTCCTGACTCCAAATTCCATCACTCAATAGCGTTCAGGTTGACACTTCCTCGGGCACTGGTTATTATTATTATTATTATTATTGAGTTGGAGTCTCACTGTCACCCAGGCTGGAGTACAGTAGCATGCTGACGGGCCACCGCAACCTTGACCTACTGGGCTCAGGCGAGCCTTCTGCTTCAGCCTTCCAAGTAGCTGGAACTACAGGCATGCACCACCATGCCCGACTAATTTTTAAAATTTTATTATTTATTGTAGAGATGAGGCCTCGCCCGGCCTGGTCTTGAACACGTGGGCTCAGGCAATCCTCTCGCCTCAGCCTCCCAAAGATTATGGGATTATAGGTGTGAGCCACCACGCCTGACTGGGCACTGATTATTGAGACATTACCCACAGCTGGAAAGGTCGCAGAAACGCTAACAGCTCACTCGCCTCCCGCTGAAGCCAAGTCCATCACCTTGTTGTATGTCTGTCATCAAATTATTTTTTGGTTTTTCTTCTTTCTTTTTTTTTTGAGTCAGAGTCCCACTCCGTTGCCCAGACTGGAGGGCAGTGGCATACTTGTGGCCACTGCAGCCTCGACCTGCTTGGCTCTGGCGGTCCTTCTGCCTCAGCCTTCCAAGTAGCCAGAATTACAGGCGCGCGCCACCATGCCCAGCTAATTTTTTGATTTACTGTAGAGATGAGGTCTCGACAAGTTGCCCAGGAGGGTCTCGAACCCTTGGGCTCAGAGCGATCTTCTCGCCTCTTCCTCCCAAAGTGCTGGGATGACAGGCGTGAGCCACCCTGCCCGGCTCAGTTATGTTGCTTCTTTCGTGACTTATCAGAATAGGGGACGGAAGTGCCCTGATGCAAGTTTGACCTGTGGTGTCTCGTGTCCTCCCTGAGTGCCCCCTACATACCATCCCCAAGGCTCCGTGAAGTTGGCACCATTCCCTTCCCTTGGAAGGACTGGCGGTCACGGACATGCAATGACAGTTCGAAGGTGACGCCCAGTGGTCACAGAGGATATTACAGCAGGAAATTTGTCCTACGAAAACCACATTGATGGTCCTTTTGCAGTTCATGCGGCGAGACGATGGGGTGTTCGCACGCGCCGGTGTGAGGTGTGCCACCCTTAAACCTTGTTGCGACGTGGGCACATTCCCCGTAAATAAAATAGAAAAAGGAAAAATCACATTTACTTTAGAAATACAAACACCATGAGCAAAAAATATTTGAGGGAAGCTACGTGGAATGAGCAATCTTAACCCTTTTATACCCATTCATTTATAACGTCAGCCAAGTCGTTAAACATTGGAGGCTGAAATCAATCAATAAAACAAAGGGGCCAGGTTAGAAGTTCTGATTTTCGTCCAGCTCCTTGGTCTATGTTATTTGATTAAAATCCATGATTGCTTTTCCATTTATGTCTCATTTACTGATTGAGAACATGTGATCACACACACAAAACTTAGGTGAATAATAGTCTAAAATGGAGAAATATTATTCTCTTAGTATCTTTTTTTATTGGAAGAACATCAAACTCGTTTAAACGATAAAATCAAAATGTATTCTTTCTATCTCCAGTTTTTTTTTGTTTGTTTGTTTTTTGAGTTGGAGTGTCACTCTGTCGCCCAGACTGGAGTGCAGTGGCCGCTCCCAGCCACCGCAGCCTCGACCTGCTGGGCTCCGGCGATCCTTCTGCCTCAGCCTTCCAAGTAGCTGGAACCACAGGCGCACGCTACCACGCCCGGCTATTTTTTTATTTATTGTAGAGACGAGGTCTCACCAAGTTGCCCGGGTGGGTCTCGAACCTGCGGGCTCAGGCAATCCACTCGCCTTGACCTCCCAAAGTGTTGGGATTACAGGCTGAGCCACCGAGCCCGGCCATCTCCAGTTTTCTTAATCACTGCTTAATAAGATAATGCTGATCAGGTCAATTTGGGCGTGGTGTCATACGCCTGTGGCTCCAGCTATTTGGAAGGCGGAAGGATGACCCGAGCCCAGCAGGCCGAGGTTGCAGTGGCTGCGATCGTGCCCCTGCACCCCCCAGCCTGGACAACAGAGCGAGACCCTGACTTGATAATAACAATAACGACAATGAAAATAATAATCTGGTTCAATATGATTGTTTTCTGTATTTTATCGAATAGGTAAAAAAATTTGCCACTTACGTCGTCGCTGCTGGACTTCAGTATGGCGGGGAAGGTGGCATCTTACACACTTTTTTTAAGGTATGACTTTTCACTGACTGGATTTTTTAAAAGTCTTCTGCAGTGAGGATATGCAGCACGAAGGGGCTCTGGATGGTTTCTGGATGCGGCTAGGTCAGTACAACGGCAGGAGATGAAGGCGAGCACAGGGTCCTCCACACGCCCCTTTGGTGTCCGCCACACCCCCCTACGGTGTCACACACCCCCCTCTGGCGTCCACCGCATCCCCCTACGATGGCCACCATGCCCGCCTCTGCCTCTTTCTCATCCTCAGTGTAACAGAGAAAAAGATGGATTTTCTTTCATCCACGAGACTGAAGTGTTTGATGTGTTTGCAGTGTTCAAAACGTTTGAGGTTTAATAGGAATGATTTTAGTTTAAAAACTGTTAAAACTCCATTTTGTTTGCTTAAACCCCTGGGTGGCTGATGCGACATTTCTTTTTGTTTGTTTTTTGGTTTTTTTTGAGCTGGAGTCTCACTCTGTCGCCCAGACTGGAGTGCAGTGGCCGCTCCCGGCCACCGCAGCCTCGACCTGCTGGGCTCCGGCGATCCTTCCGCCTCAGCCTTCCAAGTAGCTGGAACTACAGGCGCGCGCCACCACACCCGGCAAATTTTTGATTGATTTAGAGATGAGGTCCTGCCAAGTTGCCCGGGCAGGTCCCGAACCTGTGGGCTCAGGCAATCGCAATCCACTCACCTCGGCCTCCCAAGGCGTGGCATTACAGGCTGAGCCACCGAGCCCGGCTCGATGTGACATTTTTAAAGTTTGCGTGTCATCAGTGTACAGCCCTGTACCTCCCCCTTATCTGAGTTTTTACCCCTGCCCGCTCTTGCCTAACCCAAAGCTGGATGTTCTATCTCTGTCATTCCTCAGTTTGCCTATAAAAAACCTCTGAAAGTTTTACCTGGGGTCGAGAGATTTGGTGGCACATGCTCCCTCTCGACCGCCGGCTATTAACGGACTCAGAATCTGACCTTTTGCTGTACGGGCAATCTGTTTGCTCGTGACCCGGTGACAGCAAGACAGCCATTGATCTAGAGCCACCACGTGCCAGGAACGGCATACACATCCGTGGGGCAAGGTGACGTCACCTGGTGATGGGTGTGGAGTCCTGGGGTTCTCTAGTATTGGGGGGCACAGCGAGATGGAAACAAGTCAGGAAAGGAGGTTGGGAAGGATCCCCAGGAGGTGAGAGGACAGTCACAGGGGGCATTAAACAACAAGTGAGAAAAATGTTTCTTGAAAGAATGGCCAATAGTGTCGACCACTGCAGACCGGAAGATCAGGTGGGACTTGGGAACTGACCCCCATGTGTGTCATTTTTTTGGCACTGGGCAGGACAGGTACGAGTGGGTTCAAGAGGGGACAGGTGCAGCGGACTTGATGATGATGAGAACGGAGATAGGCCCAGAGGGATTTTTTGCTATTAAGGGGTGCAAAGAAGGAAGGCGACACTTGAAGGAACAAATGCAGTCAAAGCGGTTGACTTGGGTTGCTTTTTTATACAACTGCGACGACGGCTGACAGGGACATGCTCACAAAAGCCCTTTCTCCTTTTTTTTAATTTTTATTTTTGGAGTCGGAGTCTCACTGTCACCTAGGCTGGAGTGCAGGGGCACGCTCCCAGCCACCACAGCCTCGACCTGCTGGGCTCAGGCCATCCTTCCTCCTCAGCCTTCCAAGGAGCTGGAAATACAGGCACGCGCCACCTTGCCTGGTTCGTTTTTTGATTTATTGTAGAGACGAGGTCTCGCCGAGTTGCCCAGGCTGGTCTCAAAGGCCGAGGCTCAGGCAATCCTCTTGCCTCCGCCTCCCAAAGTGCTAGGATAACAGGCGTGAGCCCCCATGCCCAGCTTACTGAAATACTTAATGAGAGGAAAAACAAGATTGGACTCTGATGACGGGTTTCAGCCCAGGCTTAGGCCTCACTACAAGCGTAACCTCCTGCAAAATACTTTCTCCACTAAGCATTTCATCTATGAACCGATGACAATTATTCCCCCATCTCCAACCCCATGAGTGGGGGTAATTTTAACATTTAACTCAATTTTCTTTTTGTGAGAATTAACAACCATCTTATGTATGAAAACGTCTCTGGGTAGACGACATGCAGATGAATACTAAATATACCTGAGATTGTAGATTTCTTAAAAAGCGTTTCATTCCCAAGGTTCCACTATGTATCTAACTGGTTTACAAAAGACCTAAAAAATATATTATTTTTTTAACTTGGAGTCTCACTCTGTCACCCAGACCGGAGGTCAGTGGCACGCTCCCGGGCACCGCAGCCTCGACCTGCTGCGCTCTGGCGATCCTTCTGCCTCAGCCTTCCAAGTAGCCGGAACTACAGGTGCACGCTACCACGCCCGACTCAGTTTTGATTTATTGTAGAGACGAGGTCTCACCAAGTTGCCTGGGCAGGTCTCGAACCCATGGGCTCAGGCAATCCACTTGCCTCGGCCTCCCAATGTGCTGGGATGACAGGCTGGGTCACCGAGCCCGGCCTGAAAAAATTATTAAAAAAAAAAAAAAAAGCCATAGGGTGGCATTGCCAGGGGCAGGAAGGAGGGGGAAACACATAACATCACCAAGGATACCTGATTTTGAACCAGGTGAGGTGAGGACCAATGGGAAGCCCAAACTTTACTGTATGGAGGCCACTTGTGTACCTAATCCTGATTTGTACCCCATTTCTAAAATTAAAATAAAATAAAATAAAATAAAAAATTTAAAAAGCCAGATACAGCGGTTCATGCCTATAATCCCAGCACTCTGAGAGGCGAAGTTGGGAGGATCACTTGAGGTCAGGAGTTCAAGACCGGCCTGGGCAACATAGTGAGACTCTGTCTCTAAAAAAATTGTTTTTTCATTTATTTTTTACAGAGGTACCCTAAACAGAATTACTTCAGCACACAGACAGTCCCTCTTGGCTATCTCTGGCTTTGCATTTGTGTGTGAGCTGTAACAGTCGTACACAGATAGCTGAGGAAATGCTTTTGCTTTTTTCTTTTAGATGGCTTGGCTGGGTGAGGTCCCTGCGTTACCAGTGTTTGGCGACGGAACAAATGTCATTCCAGCGATTCATGTTCTCGATCTCGCAGGGTCAGTATTCTCCCCCAGATATGACATCTGTAGAATCTGTCCGTGTGGCTGTCTGTAGGCCGACACTTTTTTTAGCACCTGAGACCCTCGCATGTGTTTATTCTTTACGCAGCCTTACACAGAAGGCACTGTCGTCTCCATTTTGCATCTAATGACATCGTGTCCACTACCGAAAACTCCACGTTTCTGGTGGCAAGTTCAGGTTCACGTCTTAGAAACTTTATCAACAGACTAGCAATGCCCTCCAGTTTTAGAAAAGAAAGATTTTGAATGTCTAGACACCATATGTCTAATCCCAGCACTTTGGGAGGCTGAGGTGGGAGGATCACTTGAGTCCAGGAGTTTGAGGCCAACCTGGGCAACATAGCAAGATCTTGTCTCTACCCCAAATTACAAAAATTAGCTAGGCATGGTGGCATGTGCCTGTAGTCCCAGCTACTCAGGAGGTTGAGGCAGGATGATCACTTGAGCCCAGGAGTTTGAAGCTGTGGAGCGCCATTGTCTTGACACAGCGCTCCAGTCTAGGTGACAGAGTAAGAGCCTGACTCAAAAAACAAAAGAAAGCTAACATCCAGGAAGAATTGACAAGTTGTCATGACAGACTCTATTCACTGTTGTTTCTCTCCAGACATCTTTAATTTATGTTCTAGGCGGGTGCAGTGGCTCACGCCCATAATCCCAGCACTTTGGGAGGTCAAGGTGAGAGGATTGCCTGAGCCCACGGGTTCGAGACCAGGCTGGGCAACTTGGCAACGCCTCATCTCTACAATAAATCAAAAAATTAGCCAGGCGTGGTGGCGCACGTCTGTTGTTCCAGCTTCTTGGAAGGCTGAGGCTGAAGGATTACCTGAGCCCAGCAGGTCTAGGCTGCGGTGGTCATGAGCGTGCCACTGCATTCCAGCCTGGGTAACAGAGTGAGACTCTGACTCAATAAATAAATAAAGTAACAATTAAAAGAAAATTTGTTCTAAGGCCGGACATGGTGGCTCACACCTGTGATCCCAGCACTTTGGGAAGCCGAGGTGAGAGGGTTGCCCTGCCTGAGCCCATGGGTTTAAGACCAGTCTGGGCAACTTGGCGGGAACTCATCTCTACAACAAAAAATAAAAAATAAAAAAATTAGCTGGGCGTGGTAGTACACACACCTGCAGTTCCAGCTACTTGGAAGGCTGAGGCGGAAGGATCGCCGGAGCCCAGCAGGTCGAGGCTGCAGTGGCCTCCAGTCTGGGCGACAGAGTGAGACTCCAACTCAAAAAAAAAAAGGAGCAATCTGACAGGCAGGGGCTTCGAGATGGCCACTGCTGGTTGGTTGGAGATGACATCATGGGGGTGTCAGCACTGTCTCCAGTGCCCGGAGCCAGTTTCTAGAAGGGCATCCAGGCTGGGGGGTAGTCAGCTTCTTGGTATGTGCTCTGAGTCTGCATGGGACCTCAGGTCCATCAGAGTGCAAAGTCTGAAAACTGTGGAACGAATGCCACTCTTAGGCTTTAGACCTGCTACCTGGAAAGCCGGTTCAGCGACTCCTGGAGGCAGTTTTCGGAGGACCTTGGAGATCAGAGCTGTGCGTGCCCTTGGACTGGTCATACTTCAGGAGGCCACCAGAGGCTCTCTGTGACCTCAGGCCCATTGTTTAAGGGAAAAGATGTTTATCAACCCTGAGGGCTCCTTCCCCCTCCCCAGGCACAGGGCATGGACATAATCAGTTGCCTTCTAGTGAAGTGAAAGTGAAATGCCTGTTAGCAAACCAACTGTGGTAACTCTAATTCTAGTGAACTCCCCATTTTGCCTGTTCCCCTTTGGCCCCCTCTTCCGTATGACTGCCCCAACCTGCCAATAAGCAGTAAATCACATCCTGCTTGACGGGAAACCCAGAAAAGCTGTTCTGTTACTGCTCAAGATAAACTGTTCTGTTCTGTCCTTTCACCGAAATTCCCTGCTTGCACTTCACCCAACTCTGATGAAATTGTGGTTTTGGCCTTCATGGATACCTTGCTTGCTCCATTCAGGGACGAGAGTTTTCCAGGCATGAGCCTGCTCTCGACCCCGTCAAATAAAGGACTTGAAAATTCACCCCTCTGGATGGCCTGAGCTCGCGGGTTCGAGACCCACCTGGGCAACTTAGCGAGACCTCATCTCTACAATACATCAAAAATGAGCTGGGCGTGGTAGCGCGCGCCTGTAGTTCCAGCTGCTTGGAAGGCTGAGGCGGAAGGATCGCCAGGCCCAGCAGGTCAAGGCTGCAATGGCCGGGAGCGGCCACTGCACTCCAGTCTGGGCGACAGTGAGACTCCAACTCAAAAAAAAAAAAAAAAAAGAAAAAAAGAAAATTCACCCCTCAGTGTGTTGGCATCTCCTTTCTTGCAATCTGGCTATCACAAAAACAAACTTAGGAACAACAGGTTCATTCATTTCTAATCATCGCTGGCATCTTGCAGGGCTCAGGTCTCTTCTACTACCTTTAGCCCATGGCCCTGGATTAATTTTTTCTAGGCAGTTTTAGTCATAGGATCCACACAACACGGTTGTGGTGAGAATTCAATGGTTCACACCTGTGTGACCCTCAGCATAGACCCAGCACAGAGGTAAACACTTGGAAATGTTGGCAGTTAGGCCAAGGAAACTGTGGGCTCAGTTGCTGTGTGGTTAAGTGACTTTCTTTCTTTTTTCCTTTTTGTGAGTTGGAGTCTCACTCTGTCACCCAGACTGGAGTGCAGTGGCTGCTCCCAGCCACTGCAGCCTCGACCTGCTGGGCTCCGGCGATCCTTCCGCCTCAGCCTTCCAAGTAGCTGGAACCACAGGCGCGTGCCACCACGCCCAGCTAATTGTTTGATTTATTGTAGAGACGAGGTCTCGCCAAGTTGCCTGGGCTGGTCTCGAACCCCCGGGCTCAGGCAGTCCTCTCACCTTGGCCCCCCAAAGTGCTGGGATCACGACGCCCGGCTGACCGAGTGACTTTCTTGAAGACCCACAACTCGTCTGAATCTGTGTCTCACTTCATAAAACACCTACCCCAAAGCGCCAATGTGAGTCCTTTCATAGACAGAGTTTCACAAGCCAAGGCCCAGTTGGGTGGAGTCCACTTGCAGGGAGATAGCGCAGTTTGCTGGGGAGGAGACCGGACAGAGCCAGGGGCATCTGACTCCAAAGACCAGCTCTCCACTTCCACAAGAGCTCTCCAGCCAGAGACATGTCACTTAACTGGAACATCTCCCTCTTCTGTAGAATCCAGGCCATAATCCCTCTCCCCACCTTGCTGGAAATTAAGTGAGATAATTTATTAAAGCACCAAACACAGTGCCTGGCCCGTGGGGGAGGCACTCAGTGAATTCTAGTCTCTCTTGCCTTTTCCCTCGGATGATTACTTTCCTTGTGGGTTGCAGAGTGATACAAAACATAATCGACCACGTGCCAAAGCCTCACTACCTGGTCGCCGTGGATGAGTCCGGTCACACCCTGGAAGACATCATCAAGGTACAGTGGTTTCATCCCATCCCTTGGATGGCATGTCCGCAATAGTTTTATCCCCTAAAGTACAGCGGTGCAATCAGTTGTGCTAACACTGAACACAGAATAACGCCTAATGCAGAATATCCTTAGAATCCAAACTCACTGCCTGCATTTGCAGCGTGTGCTTTTAAGAAATGACTTCCCAATGGCCCTTTTCTTTCATGTGCATGGAGAGAAGCAAGAGAGACACCGTAGAGCTCAGGCTGAGAAGAGGGAACCATTGCGCCTCAAACACACACAAACCATACACCAGGAACTAAATGTGTCGACAGATACTTGCCCAAAGTGCTGGCATGGTCAGCTTAACCAGTTAACTAGACCCACCGGCCACTGCCAAGGGCTCTTGAGGGCTGCCATCTTCAGCCCAGGCCGCCCTGGCCGATGCATGTGACCTAGCCAGTCCTGCTAGGGAAGCCTCCTCCTGGCCACTCCTACTCATCATTAAGGTTCGGCTCAGGTATCTTCTTCTGCATCCTCCCTGCACAGGACCTCCCACACAGGACAGGCACCTCTCTTCTGTACCCCCAGAGTGTCTTGGTCTGTTTGAACTGCTACAACAAAATATCATAATCAGAGTAGCTTATAAACAACAGACATTTGCTGCTCACAGCTCTGGGGACTGGGAAGTCCAAGAGCAAAGCAGATTTAGCTGGGCACAGAGGGTCATGACTGCATTCCCAGCACTTTGGAGACTGAGGCAGGAGAATCACTTGAGTCCAGGAGTTCCCGGGTGCAGGGAGCTATGATCATACCTGTGAACAGGCACTGCATTCCACCCTGGGTGACAGAGCAAGATCCCATCTCTAAAAATAAAAATAAGCTGAGTGCAGTGGCTCATGCCTGTAATCTCAGCACATTGAGAGGCGGAGGTGAGAGGATTGCCTGATCCCAGGAGTTTGAGACCCACCTGGGCAATTTGACAAGACCTCATCTCTACAATAAATCAAAAAATTACCCGGGTGGGGTGACACACACCCGTAGTTCCAGCTACTTGGAAGGCTGAGGCCAAAGGATCACCTGAGTCCAGCAGGTCGTGAGTGTGCCACGGCACTCCAGCCTGGGCACCAGAGTGAGACTCCGACTCAAAAAATAATAATAATAAAATAAAACGGCACATTCAGAATCTGGTGGGGGCCTGCTTTTTGGCTTCACAGATGTTGGCTTCACGCTGTATCCTCACATGGTAGAGAGGGCCAAGGAGTCTCTCGTATACAGGCACTCATCTTGCTCGTGAGGGCTCTGCTCCAAGGACCCAGTTGCCTCTCAAAGGTCTTGTCTCCCAACACCGTCATCTTGAGGGTGAGAATCTCAGAGGCACGTGGACTTTCGACCACAGCACAGAATCCCCTTTGCTGAACTGCAAACATTCCACATGATCTGTGTCCTCATCCATCTCCCTTTCCACACCGGGAGCTCCCGGGGACAGAGCTCAAGCCATCCTTCTCCTCGTCCTCAACCTGGCAGGGATGCAACTATTCTTGTATTGCATTACGTGAACATTCATTTGCGTTTTATCTAAAATAAAGCCTTTTGGGGTAAACCAAATAATCCATCTGTTTCCTTCCAACAGTGTATCAGTAAAACTACGGGTCCTGGGAAGATTCAGAAGTTACCTAAAGAAAATGCTTCCCTCATCAAGGACTTAACGGTCAGTCTATGAGACTTTTTTTTAACTGCTTTCCTGAATAAAATTGATTTAAAAAAAAAAATTACCAGACATGTTCTGGCTAAATAAAATTGACTCTCAAGAGACGTGGAGTCCGAGGCTTGGCTTTGAAGGTAACTTATTCTTCTTTTCAGTTGTCTTTTCTGAGAATCCTCAGGGGAAAAGCATTTGAAAGCTGTTTGATATGTAAAATATTATACAAACACTGGGGTTTTGGGGTTTTTTTTTCAGTTGGAGTCTCACTCTATTGCCCAGGCTGGAGTGCAGTGGCAACCTCATGGCCACCGCGGCCTTGAACTGCTGGGCTCAGGTTATCCTTCCACCTCAGCCTTCCGAATAGCTGGAACTACAGGCGCCTTCCACCATGCCCAGCTAATTTTTCTGTGATTTATTGTAGCGACAAGGTCTTACCAAGTTGTCCAGGCTGGTCTCAAACCCCTGGGCTCAGGCAATCCTCTCGCCTCCACCTCCTAAAGTGCTGAGATGATAGGAGTGAGCCATCGTGCCTGGCTCAAACACTGGTTATTATTTTCCTTGGCTTCTTTCAAAGTTCAAACAGCAGGTTGAGATTCCAGTTCCATCGTAACAAAAAACAACAGATTTTAGCTACACTGTGCGCTCCTCAGGCTTTTTTTAAAGGGTAGTTCTTGCGGAGTGCGGGGGCTCACACCTATAATCCCAGCACTTTGGGAGGCCAAGGTGAGAGGATTGCCTGAGCCCAGGAGCTCAAGACCAGCCCGCGCAACCTGGCGAGACCTCGTCTCTACAATAAATCCAAAAATTAGCCAGGCGTGGTGGCACACGCCTGTAGTTCCAGCTACTCGGAAGGCTGAGGCAGAAGGATGACCTGAGCCCAGCAGGTTGAGGGTGAGGTGGCCGTGAGCAACGTGCCCCTGCACTCCAGCCTGGGCCACAGAGCGAGACCCCAACTCAAAAATAAATAAAGATAAAAGAACGAGAGTGAACGGTCTGTTGTAGCTTTAGGAATGAAACAAGATGACCACATCTCTGACTTTTTTGTGTCTCTTAGCAACACGGTCTCGACCACTTACTGGTCAACCTGAGAATGGAGGCGCTCTTTGTGAAAGAGAACTTCAACATCCGATGGGCGGCCCAGGCAGGTTTCGTGGAAAATGTCAGCAGCGTCCTCAGAGAGTACAAGGAGACCAGAGGACTCTTGGTAACTATGACCCGCTCCTATGACACTTGCAGTGTATGCAAACGAAGCCAACTTTTAGTGTGATGATGCCAGCGAGAGCATGTTCTTTTTCAAATGTCCACATTTCTCTTCTTTTTCTTTTTCTTTTTTTTTTGAGTCAGAGTCTCACTCTGTTGCCCAGGATAAAGTGCAGTGGCTGGAGCCCAGCAGGTCGACGCCGGGGGGG